GCGAGACTATTTATTGCAAAAAGTGATTTATGACACGAAAAATTATTGCCCAAAAATTATAAAGAAAAATATTTCATAAAAATTTTATTTTAATAAACGCAATTGCAAATTTTGCATTCAAGGTTGTTTACGAAACTTACGTTTAAAAAAATGCGACAAATAATTTGAATAAAATAAACAATTTTATTATTAACAAAAGGAAAACAACTTTTAAAATGAAAATATATAAACTAAAAAATAAAAGAAAACAAGAAAATAAAAACAAAGAAGTAAGCGATTATTTTATTTGATGTCAAAAATTGACGTCAATTTTCATATAAGTGAATGATAAAAAACTGAAAAAAATTAAAATTCTAAAAAAAATCGTTTTCAACAAAGTAACCATTAAGGACTCTTTAAAGTAACCTGTATTAAGTGTATAAAAAACCAACAGTGATGACAGTAATAACCATAATGACAAAAAAATTGTCTTTTTAAATTAAGAACTCTAGTTCTAGTTCAGTTCAGTTAAGTTCTAGTTCAGTTCTAGTTCAGTTCTAGTTCAGTTCTAGTTCAGTTCTAGTTCAGTTCTAGTTCAGTTCTAGTTCAGTTCTAGTTCAGTTCTAGTCAGTTCTAGTTCAGTTATAGTTCAGTATAGTTCAGTTATAGTCAGTTCTAGTTCAGTTCAGTTCAGTTCTAGTTCAGTTCTAGTTCAGTTCTAGTTCTAGTTCAGTTCTAGTTCAGTTCTAGTTCAGTTCTAGTTCAGTTCTAGTTCAGTTCTAGTTCAGTTCTAGTTCAGTTTAGTTCAGTTCAGTTCAGTTCTAGTTCAGTTCTAGTTAGTTCTAGTTCAGTTCTGTTCAGTTCTAGTTCAGTTAGTTCAGTTCTAGTTCAGTTTTTAGTTCAGTTCTAGTTCAGTTCTAGTTCAGTTCTAGTTCAGTTCTAGTTCAGTTCTAGTTCAGTTCAGTTCTAGTTCAGTTCAGTTCTAGTTCAGTTCAGTTCTAGTTCAGTTCTAGTTCAGTTCTAGTTCAGTTCTAGTTCAGTTCTAGTTCAGTTCTAGTTCAGTTCTAGTTCAGTTCTAGTTCAGTTCTAGTTCAGTCTAGTTCGTTCTAGTTCAGTTCTAGTCAGTTCAGTTAGTTCAGTTCTAGTTCAGTTCTAGTTCAGTTCTAGTTCAGTTCTAGTTCAGTTCTAGTTCAGTTCTAGTTCAGTTCTAGTTCAGTTCTAGTTCAGTTCTAGTTCAGTTCTAGTTCAGTTCTAGTTCAGTTCTAGTTCAGTTCTAGTTCAGTTCTAGTTCAGTTCTAGTTCAGTTCTAGTTCAGTTCTAGTTCAGTTTTAGTTCAGTTCTAGTTCAGTTCTAGTTCAGTTCTAGTTCAGTTCTAGTTCAGTTCTAGTTCAGTTCTAGTTCAGTTCTAGTTCAGTTCTAGTTCAGTTCTAGTTCAGTTCTAGTTCAGTTCTAGTTTAGTTCTAGTTCAGTTCTGGTTCAGTTCTAGTTCAGTTCTAATTCAGAATCGTAGTTATTTTGAAGTTTCAAATCATTCGCCAAAACAAACAAATTTTGATTTAAATTCACGATAACAAGTCTCGTGAAAACTATTGAATCTATCAACACATAAAAACAACAACAATACCCAAACCATTTCCGCTGATTTTAACAATACTCGTGATTTTTCAGCGTTTTTTTCTTATTTTTAAAAAATTCAAATACTTTAACGAATTCTGGCAATAAATTCTTAAACATTTGTTTCTACTTCAATGAACTTGAGAATGATTTAAATAATGAAAGCAAATGTCTATCTCTTAGTTTGTCGGTTGGTCTAACTCGTCTGTCAGTCTTTAGAAAAAAGAAGCAACAAAAGATAAAATTCAAATATAAAGTATATTTAATTGCAAAAAAAAAAATATGTTTAAAAAAATATATAACAAAACTACTTGTAATTGTATTTGTGCAAAATTTATGACGTTATAATTGCCCCAAATATTTTAATAATTTTCTGGTTGGTGTTGTATTTTTTTTTAAGAAAACACATATTTATAATCACAAATAATTTTTTGTATACATATAAACCATTTTATGACGTATATATAAACAAAAATATTTTTTTTAATTTTACATATATAAACAATTAATGTTTTCAATTAGATTTGGTGGGTGTGTGTGTGTAAGCGATTTTTAAACAATTGAAAATTGTAAACAATGCACTGTTGTTTTCCAAAGAAATTATTGAAGATTTTGTTAAAAAAAACATTTAATTAAAAAGATGAACAATTGATATTTTGCTCGAAGGATTTAATTTAAATTTAAAAAATATATTTAAAATATTCGTGATCTTAAAAGATCTTTTGCCCTTTGCATTTGTAACGAACATTTAAAAAAATGTTTTTTTTAAAGATCTCCTAAGAACTACTGGGACTTAAGAACACGCTAATTCAGTTTGCAGATTTATAAACAGATAACTGATATTTTCTCTCTCATTCGATCAATACTTCCTTGGTATTACCAAATTATCGCAAGCGATCCGATAAATAACGATTTTTATCTATCACTTTTTTCCTTTAAAAATAAAGCTGTTAATTCCTTTTGTATTATTTTTCTTTGACTTAATGACCTTAGGATAGGATCGTGACTTGTTCTTGTACTGAGAAAAATTTTAAATTAAAACTTACAGTGACATTAATTATATGTTTCTGTCTTTCCATATTGAGAGAGAAAATTTTTTTCAATACGAGAAATAAGCGACTTTTTCGAACTGTAAAATATTCTCAATTGCGAGAGGAAAATTCGTAACACAAGTTATTGCTCTCATTACGTACACGTGAAAGCAAGAGTGCCTATGCAGATCTTAGCTGATAGCTGGTCCAAACTGCTTCCCGATAAACATTATTATTTCTTATTGAATATATTAGTATTTTTGTTTATTTCCAGTAGGGAACACACGCAAGTTTTGAAAAAATATTTGAAATTTTTATCGCTCATCAAACAATATTTTTCATTGCGAGAGGGAAAACGCAATGTTTTCAATAAAACGCATGAATAAACAAGATTATAAAAATTAAAATGCGTATAATATTATTTCAAATATGTACGTTAGGGTGGTCTCGACTAAAATAGAAAACCGAAGTGCTAAAGGCAGTTCAGTTCTTGTTCTAGTTGAGTTCTAGTTCGGTTATAGTTCGGTTTCTAGTTCTAGTTCAGTTCTAGTTCAGTTCTAGTTCAGTTCTAGTTCAGTTCTAGTTCAGTTCTAGTTCAGTTCTAGTTCAGTTCTAGTTCAGTTCTAGTTCAGTTCTAGTTCAGTTCTAGTTCAGTTCTAGTTCAGTTCAAGTTCAGTTCTAGTTCAGTTCTAGTTCAGTTCAAGTTCAGTTCTAGTTCAGTTCTAGTTCAGTTCTAGTTTCGGTTCTAGTTCAGTTCTAGTTCAGTTCTAGTTCAGTTCTAGTTCAGTTCTAGTTCAGTTCTAGTTCAGTTCTAGTTCGGTTCTAGTTCAGTTCTAGTTCAGTTCTAGTTCAGTCTAGTTAGTTCTAGTTCAGTTCTAGTTCAGTTCTAGTTCAGTTCTAGTTCAGTTCTAGTTCAGTTCTAGTTCAGTTCTAGTTCAGTTCTAGTCATTCTAGTTCAGTTCTAGTTCAGTTCTAGTTCAGTTCTAGTTAGTTCTAGTTCAGTTCTAGTTCAGTTCTAGTCAGTTCTAGTTCAGTTCTAGTCAGTTCTAGTTCAGTTCTAGTTCAGTTCTAGTTCAGTTCTAGTTCAGTTCTAGTTCAGTTCTAGTTCAGTTCTAGTTCAGTTCTAGTTCAGTTCTAGTTCAGTTCAGTTCAGTTCTAGTTCAGTTCTAGTTCAGTTCTAGTTCAGTCTAGTTCAGTTCTGTTCAGTTCTAGTTCAGTTCTAGTTCAGTTCTAGTTCAGTTCTAGTTCAGTTCTAGTTCAGTTCTAGTTCAGTTCTAGTTCAGTTCTAGTTCAGTTCTAGTTCAGTTCTAGTTCAGTTCTAGTTCAGTTCTAGTTCAGTTCTAGTTCATTTCTAGTTCAGTTCTAGTTCAGTTCTAGTATCAGTTCTAGTTCAGTTCTAGTTCAGTTCTAGTTCAGTTCTAGTCAGTTCTAGTTCAGTTCTAGTTCAGTTCTAGTTCAGTTCTAGTCCGTTCTTCTAGTTCAGTTCTAGTTCAGTTCTAGTTCAGTTCTAGTTCAGTTCTAGTTCTAGTTCAGTTCTAGTTCAGTTCTAGTTCTGTTCTAGTTCTGTTCTAGTTCTGTTCTAGTTCTGTTCAAGTTCTGTTCTAGTTCTGTTCTAGTTCTGTTCTAGTTCTGTTCTAGTTCTGTTCTAGTTCTGTTCTAGTTCTGTTCTAGTTCTGTTCTAGTTCTGTTCTAGTTCTGTTCTAGTTCTGTTCTAGTTCTGTTCTAGTTCTGTTCTAGTTCTGTTCTAGTTCTGTTCTAGTTCTGTTCTAGTTTTGTTCTAGTTCTGTTCTAGTTCTGTTCTAGTTCTGTTCTAGTTCTGTTCTAGTTCTGTACTAGTTCTGTTCTAGTTCTGTTATAGTTCTATTTCTGTCCTAGTTCTAATTCTATTCTAGTTCTGTTGTCTTGAAGCCTCCCTAATCCTCATTTTTCGCATTGAATGGTAATATCGAAACGTAAATAATAATTTTTGTGGGTTATTTGAAATAGTTAATGATGATCAGATACAAAAACAATAAAATTTAATTGAAAAATATTTAAGTATTTTGCGTTTTTTGGGAGATCTATTAAAGAATGAGTACCACGCTCTAAACAAAAATACAAATACAAGTGCGTTTCTGAGTATGTACCTTTTTTGACTACAAGAAAGAACAATTTGAAAATCGTCTAAAAAAACACACACATGAAATAATTGAAATCCGCTAAATGATCGTCTATAAAGTAAATATGTATATTTAAATGTGTGTAAATTATTTTTTATTTCTTTTTTGTTGTTTTAATTTAAACAAAATCTAAAATCTATATTGTATTCTATATGTATGTAGAAATTGTTGTTAAATTATTTTTGTTAATTTGAACTTGTTTGAAATTTATTTGCAGAAAATACCGACAGTTACGACGGGCTATGATAACGAGAAGCATAACGGCTCAAGGAATAATAACGCGTCTGTAAATCAAACAAAGTATGTTTTAAATCATTTTACTATAACTAAAATATTTTACTATAAAATACGGTTGAAAAAATATAAAAAAAAATTATAAAAAAATATAGACTAACAATTTTTTTAAAACTATAAAAATTTATATACTAATCGGTTGTCGGTATTAAGTAGTTGTAAATAACTATATTTTTATATATACATAATTCCTATATAAATAGACTTTATAAAAAGTCTTATAAAAAAAACTATAAGAAACAATGTATAGAAATATTGAAAATGAATCTTCAACATCAATGTTTGAAATGTATACTTCTTCGGATAGATTCATACGTTCGGATATGGCGGATGTGCCGGCTCAACAAGCCGCAGGCTCAACCCTGCCTTTAGTGATATCAAGGAAAAAGGGTGGCAGTGCAGATGATTCCGAAGATGTTAATTATAATCCATTCGAGCACCGGAAAGTCGAGCATCCAACATCGTAAGTATTGAAAGTTTTGTTAGTACTTTTTAAAGTTTTTTTTTGATTGAAAAATATTTTTATGCAAAATTTCTCGGATTTTAAAGAAAATTTAAAAACAAATATGTATTTTAAACTTGTAATAATTTTCCCGCATTTTTAAGATAGAAAAATTGAATTCAAATTTTGGCAAAACATTTGATCGCCTTTTATTTTATTCTTGTATGATGACTAATACAAAGTCCGTCAATTTTTGTGGACTTTAATCGAAATCATCAAAACAATTTCCTTGCGACAATCATATTTGTTGCCAAATATATGATTTAGTCCTAATGACAAAATTTTCCATTTGTGGTTGCAAAATTTTGGATAGGCTGCCAATTAATTAATAACGGATTTAATGACTCAAATGTGCTGATATCTAAAAACTTCACAGGTGATTTTTAAATTTTAGTTCAGAGAGAAAGTCAATCGTCATATTACTGTCGCCGAGTAGTCTAGAGAGTAGACACTTATAACTTATTTTATATTCCGAAAGTATTCACTTAACCTGCCATTAGTAATCGATGTGATATGCGGTTGCATTTTCCAAAGAGCCAATTGACATATAACCCTAAAAAAATTGATAGTTTCGGACCATATTCCGTTCTGTAACATAGAGAATGTCTAAGTGCTTATTGTGAACACCTGTTTTAATGGCCTTATTTCACGGTATTTTTTTCATCCATTGGGTAGACTTGATAACGGTCTACCACACGTCCCTGAATCCTTCTATGAAGAACTCAGGTGGCAATTTTTGTACATGGCTGTGCCAGTCCATGTATAAGCACTTTACTGAAGTACTCGGGCTATCTAATCTCTTGCCATACTAGCCCAATTGCGGAATGACAGGCAGCATAGGATTAATCCCAATACAAACCCCGACAAGGAAAAAGCAATCACTGTTCTAAAGTCAATAGAAGGGGAGACAACTACAACATCAGTAGAAATCAATTTTGCGGTATACCGGAAGTTGACAATCATGAAAGATTGCATTATTGAAATTGCAATCCCCATTACCAGTGCATTCCTTATCCTTTTAAAGACTGCGCAACCACACTACTGAGATGGCCCTGTTGATGGCCCTATTGGTAGTCCAAAATACCCACCCAATAAATCAGGATCCCTCTGTATGTCGAGATAATGTGACAAAGGATGTAGGAATTTCCAAAGTCAATTCGAACCCAATAATTGCCACGACAAGTTGAGTAGAAGGCCTCAACCATAAGTCGCGTATCATGAACCAATATGCACCCTGTTGGATAACAACAGCACCGATAACTTCCCTGAAGTAAAAGGTCATCTAAATCACTACTAATCTTCTCTCGGGCAGAGAAGTCTTTCCTGATCGTTTACCAACTTACATCAGTTCCATCCTCAGACCATAAAGACCGATCTACGGAATGACATGCAACTACTAAGTGGCAACCTGAAAATTCCCCAACCTATACTGGCGCCCTTCTACGCGAAAAGTAAGAGATGCTCTGTCACATCACCCAGTGACATCTGTTGAGATGGCAACAGCACCGGAGAGAGAATCTAGACATAGGATATATCAGTCTTTAAAGGAGGAAGGAACCTCAACCAACTGACCAGCCAGGACAAGTCATGCAGGCAACTAGCCACCCGCAGTGCTAGATTATATGGTACTCCGGTTGGACCCCATGTCAAATCATTCCAAGAAAAGGCCGAGGATACATTTGATCATCAGCAATTTACACTACCGCCAGACTAGAGGTATTGGTAGCACCTCTTTTCCCCGCGATATTGCAATAACACCAATATGGAGATTTCACCTAGGCAACATGCCCCCGGGGGGACTGTAACATAGGGAGTAGAAGTTTTGTTGTCTCTACTGGGGAAAAACTTAGGGTTGATACAGCTGTCGCTAGGTTGACAATCTGTGGGCGACTAGGGTCGGTCCAGAGCAATGATCCAATTGTCGTAGGAATGTCACTCCTCTCTGTTCGCTTTAATGGCGTCAAGTTTAGGAGTTATTTTTTTGCCTTTGATTAAAAGTGAAAACGGACCGGGAGCATTTCTATTTTGATCTATTATGGCCAAAAATTTGGAAAATTAAAATCACTTTCTGATTTTTCTTAAAATATTAAAAATAGCTTTATTAGTCTGAACTGAAATAGATCTGTACTATGAGCTCATTTGCTATCCTGATTTTACAAGTTTTCACGCTCAAACCAGTATAAGAGCAAAGATAATCAATCAGAGATCTTGTAAATCTCTGTCGATGACTGATCTTCAGTTCAGCATCGTTTAGTCGAGATTTTATGATCCATGAGCAATAGATCTAAGAGGGTAACAATTACATTAAGCGCTTGCCGGAGAATAATGATTCGGTTATTAACTTAATGTTGTTCAATATCTTCCAAATTAAGAAGCAATAATTCTAAACTTACTTCTTACTTCTTACTTAACAAGCTTCTCATGTAACCTAAACTAATGGTCTTCTAGACTATATGTATATATTTTAATTGAGTTTTATCCGATTATTCGATTAAAAACCAAAGTTATGCAATAAATTTGACGGATACGAATTTTAACAACTCATTAATGGTTTTCATAAAACATTTTTTTGAAATTTCATTTAACATTTGTTTTCTTCCACGATGATTGATTTTCCAATTTGAAAAATTAAATTTCTCTTAAGACTTTAAGAAAAAAAAATCGTGAAAATTTTCCATTCTTTAAAAGTAAATGTAAAAAACCAGAAAATAAAATTCATTCATATGAAACAAAACTGATCATCCCCCACGAATGTGAAACGCTGCATGATAATTTTTTTTTGTTTTTTTTCTGAAAAATAAGCGGAAATTTTCCACTTGGCACAATAACATGTAAATGCAAATGAAAATAAAAGAAAATTTGTCGTCAGAACAACAACAAGAAGGAAAACGAAAATAAAAGAACAGCAACAAAATAATTTTAAAAGAAAAGACCTTGGTCTTGAATTTTCTTGCCAAAAAGTTAAGACATTTATTACATAGTCGAAAATTGCATTAGAACGACTGTTCTGTTTGTTTTGTTTATTTCTTGACAAGAAGAAAAAATATTAAATAAAATGTTTTACTACTACTGAACAACTGATTTGATTGCCTTCAGATTTGAGTGTACGACGCCACCACAATGTATTTATGGCCCACTATACATACATAGGTATAAGAAGCAAATTTACAAGAAATGTGCATAATGCATATATTTAATTTTTAAATATTTACATGCATAAAAAACTTGAAGTGAAATGAGCTATTTTTTAAGGATATGATCGATTTTTGTAATACCCTACAGTTCGGATTTCAAATAAATTTTAGAAGTTTTTCAGTTAGTTAGTTAGTTAGTTAGTTAGTTAGTTAGTTAGTTAGTTAGTTAGTTAGTTAGTTAGTTAGTTAGTTAGTTAGTTAGTAGTTAGCTAGTTAGTTAGTTAGTTAGTTAGTAGTTAGTTAGTTAGTTAGTTAGTTAGTTTAGTTAGTTAGTTAGTTTAGTTAGTTAGTTAGTTAGTTAGTTAGTTAGTTAGTTAGTTAGTTAGTTAGTTAGTTAGTTAGTTAGTTAGTTAGTTAGTTAGTTAGTTAGTTAGTTAGTTAGTTAGTAGTTAGTTAGTTAGTTAGTAGTTAGTTAGTTAGTTAGTTAGTTAGTTAGTTAGTTAGTTAGTTAGTAGTTAGTTAGTTAGTTAGTTAGTTAGTTAGTTAGTTAGTTAGTTAGTTAGTTAGTAGTTAGTTAGTTAGTTAGTTAGTTAGTAGTTAGTAGTTAGTTAGTTAGTTAGTTAGTTAGTTAGTTAGTTAGTTAGTTGTTAGTTAGTTAGTTAGTTAGTTAGTTAGTTAGTTAGTTAGTTAGTTAGTTAGTTAGTTAGTTAGTTAGTTAGTAGTTAGTTAGTTAGTTAGTTAGTTAGTTAGTTAGTTAGTTAGTTAGTTAGTTAGTTAGTTAGTTAGTTAGTTAGTTAGTTAGTTAGTTAGTTAGTTAGTTAGTTAGTTAGTTAGTTAGTTAGTTAGTAGTTAGTTAGTTAGTTAGTTAGTTAGTTAGTTAGTTAGTTAGTTAGTTAGTTAGTTAGTTAGTTAGTTAGTTAGTTAGTTAGTTAGTTAGTTAGTTAGTTAGTTAGTTAGTTAGTTAGTTAGTTAGTTAGTTAGTTAGTTAGTAGTTAGTTAGTTAGTTAGTTAGTTAGTAGTTAGTTAGTTAGTTAGTTAGTTAGTTAGTTAGTTAGTTAGTTAGTTAGTTAGTTAGTTAGTTAGTTAGTTAGTTAGTAGTTAGTTAGTTAGTTAGTTAGTTAGTTAGTTAGTTAGTTAGTTAGTTAGTTAGTAGTTAGTTAGTAGTTAGTTAGTTAGTTAGTTAGTTAGTTAGTTAGTTAGTTAGTTAGTTAGTTAGTTAGTTAGTTAGTAGTTAGTTAGTTAGTTAGTTAGTTAGTTAGTTAGTTAGTTAGTTAGTTAGTTAGTTAGTTAGTTAGTTAGTTAGTTAGTTAGTTAGTTAGTTAGTTAGTTAGTAGTTAGTTAGTTAGTTAGTTAGTTAGTTAGTTAGTTAGTTAGTTAGTTAGTTAGTTAGTTAGTTAGTTAGTTAGTTAGTTAGTTAGTTAGTTAGTTAGTTAGTAGTTAGTTAGTTAGTTAGGTAGTTAGTTAGTTAGTTAGTTAGTTAGTTAGTTAGTTAGTTAGTTAGTTAGTTAGTTAGTTAGTTAGTGTTAGTTAGTTAGTTAGTTAGTAGTTAGTAGTTAGTTAGTAGTTAGTTAGTTAGTTAGTTAGTTAGTTAGTTAGTTAGTTAGTTAGTTAGTTAGTTAGTTAGTTAGTAGTTAGTTAGTTAGTAGTTAGTTAGTTAGTTAGTTAGTTAGTTCGTTAGTTAGTTAGTTAGGTAGTTAGTTAGTTAGTTAGTTAGTTAGTTAGTTAGTAGTTAGTTAGTTAGTTAGTTAGTTAGTTAGTTAGTTAGTTAGTTAGTTAGTTAGTTAGTTAGTTAGTTAGTTAGTTATTAGTTAGTTAGTTGTTAGTTAGTTAGTTAGTAGTTAGTTAGTTAGTTAGTTAGTTAGTTAGTTAGTTAGTTAGTTAGTTAGTTAGTTAGTTAGTGGTTAGTTAGTTAGTTAGTTAGTAGTTAGTTAGTTAGTTAGTTAGTTAGTTAGTTAGTTAGTTAGTTAGTTAGTTAGTTAGTTAGTAGTAGTTAGTTAAAGCAAAACTTATATCTCTTCTGTCTACATATCACGATTATTTACATCGGATCTTATGGAACAAACCACCATCTATGTATATGATCAAACTACCTCTTCGATCTTCTATAAGATGTAGGTCACCTCTAAGATCATCTATGCCTACCACACAAATATTTTCTCTATTATTTGTTCATATATTGCGCTGAGTGCACTAACCGATTGAACTTTTAACGAAACCTTCACTTGTAAATAATTTATTAAATTTGAATTGATTTGAATCACATTTGTATTTAACAACAAATACACAAATGCTTAAATAGTCGCAATTGTCAAAGTGACAAAACTAATATAATTTATAAAACAATCATCAAAAATGAATGTCTTTTAAAATAAGATGCAGGAAATAAATGACATTAGTTCAATTTCAATTTAAAAAAAATTATTTAACTAAATTATTTAAAATCATTTTTTGCAAACATTTTAAGGTGGCGCCTATTTATAATTAAATTTTCTTTTTTTCTCAGTTTTTAGTAAATGTTTTTCTTTTATTTTTATAAAAGTGTAAAACGTCAAAACATCTGTTATACAATTATTTTTTCTTAAGTAATTATTTAAATGCAAATAAATAATAGAATGATGTTTTAATTTGTTAAGATGAATAACAAGAAATATTTACATTTATATTACTCTTGATCTCTGACGTTAGAGAGCAGTTTATCTAGTGGAAAATTTTTAAAAATATTTATAATGAGCCATTCTGATGATTGAGATGTCATGTGCAGGGTAAATAGAGCATTACCGTGTATATAGTAGTGCAATTTTATTAGGATTTAACCCTTTTAGCACCTATGGGTTAATTATTAGATACGATATTTAATATAAGTTAGAACCAAAGTATACTAGATTGTATACAGACTAGACTATAAACCAGACTATAGACTAGACTATAGACTAGACTATAGACTAGACTATAGACTAGACTATAGACTAGACTATAGACTAGACTATAGACTAGACTATAGACTAGACTATAGACTAGACTATAGACTAGACTATAGACTAGGACTATAGACTAGGACTATAGACTAGGACTATAGACTAGACTATAGACTAGACTATAGACTAGCTATAGACTAGACTATAGACTAGACTATAGACTAGACTATAGACTAGGACTATAGACTAGACTATAGACTAGACTATAGACTAGACTATAGACTAGACTATAGACTAGACTATAGGACTAGACTATAGACTAGGCTATAGACTAGACTATAGACTAGACTATAGACGAGACTATAGACTAGACTGAAGACTAGACTTAGACTAGACTATAGACTAGACTATAAACTAGACTATAGACTAGACTATAGACTAGACTATAGACTAGACTAGACTAGACTATAGACTATGATAGACTATGACTAGACTATAGACTAGACTATAGACTAGACTACTAGACTAGACTATAGACTAGACTATAGACTAGACTATAGACTAGACTATAGACTAGACTATAGACTAGACTATAGACTAGACTATAGACTAGACTATAGACTAGACTATAGACTAGACTATAGACTAGACTATAGACTAGACTATAGATGACTATAGGCTAGACTATAGACTAGACTATAGACTAGACTATAGACTAGACTATACTAGACTATAGACAAGGCTATAGACTAGTCTATAGACTAGACTATACTAGACTATAGACTATACTATAGACTAGACTATAGACTAGACTATAGACTAGACTATAGACTAGACTATAGACTAGACTATAGACTAGACTATAGACTAGACTATAGACTAGACTATAGACTAGACTATAGACTAGACTATAGACTAGACTATAGACTAGACTATAGACCAGACTATAGACCAGACTGTAGACTAGACTATAGACTAGACTATAGACTAGACTATAGACTAGACTATAGACTAGACTATAGACTAGACTATAGACTAGACTATAGACTAGACTATAGACTAGACTATAGACTAGACTATAGACTAGACTATAGACTAGACTATAGACTAGACTATAGACTAGACTATAGGACTAGACTATAGACTAGACTAGAGACTAGACTAAGACTAGACTATAGACTAGACTGATAGCCTAGACTATAGACTAGACTATAGACTAGACTATAGACTAGACTATAGACTAGACTATAGACCTAGACTATAGACTAGACTATAGACTAGACTATAGACTAGACTATAGACTAGACTATAGACTAGACTATAGACTAGACTAGTAACTAGACTATAGACTAGACTATAGACTAGACTATAGACTAGACTATAGACTAGACTATAGACTAGACTATAGACTAGACTATAGACTAGACTATAGACTAGACTATAGACTAGACTATAGACTAGACTATAGACTAGACTATAGACTAGACTAGATAGACTATAGACTAGACTATAGACTAGACTATAGACTAGACTATAGACTAGACTATAGACTAGACTATAGACTAGACTATAGATAGACATAGCTATATAGACTAGAACGATAGGACTAGACTATAGACTAGACTATAGACTAGACTATAGACTAGACTATAGACTAGACTATAGACTAGACTATAGACTAGACTATAGACTAGACTATAGACTAGACTATAGACTAGACTATAGACTAGACTATAGACTAGACTATAGACTAGACTATAGACTGACTATAGACTAGACTATAGACTAGACTATAGACTAGACTATAGACTAGACTATAGACTAGACTATAGACTAGACTATAGACTAGACTATAGACTAGACTATAGACTAGACTATAGACTAGACTATAGACTAGACTATAGACTAGACTATAGACTAGACTATAGACTAGACTATAGACTAGACTATAGACTAGACTATAGACTAGACTAGACTAGACTATAGACTAGACTATAGACTAGACTATAGACTAGACTATAGACTAGACTATAGACTAGACTATAGACTAGACTATAGACTAGACTATAGACTAGACTATAGACTAGACTATAGACTAGACTATAGACTACTTACTAGACTATAGACTGGACTATACACTAGACTATAGACTAGACTATAGACTGTACTATACACTAGACTATATATAATCCATATTGAATCCAAATAAAGATTTTGCATACAAAATTTTCAAAAATTTTGTACCCTATTTTAAATTTAACACATATTTTTTCTTTCCCCCTTTCTAGCGATACGGAAACCCTTATCCATCTGCTCAAGGGTTCATTGGGTTCCGGTATTCTGGCTATGCCTATGGCATTCCTCAATTCCGGTCTATGGTTTGGTTTAGTCGCCACCTTTCTTGTCGGTGCCATTTGCACATACTGCGTACACATTCTGGTTAAATGTGCACACATTCTGTGCAGACGTCGTAAGATACCCATGATGGGTTTTGCCGATGTTGCCGAACAGGCTTTCTTAGATGGTCCACCCAATTTGCAGCGCTGGTCGCGTTTCATACGTTTTATGGTGAATACATTTTTGGTTATCGATTTAATCGGTTGCTGTTGTATTTATCTGGTATTCGTGGGAACAAATGTCAAACAAGTGGTGGACTATTATACGGAGGAGGGCAGTGAAATGAATATACGCATATGGATTATCATTGTAACCTGCCCTTTGTTGTTTATGTGTTTGGTGAGAAATCTTAAGTATTTGACACCCTTCTCGATGGTGGCCAACTTGTTGATGTTTGTGGGTATTATTATTACGTTTACGTATATCTTCAATGATTTACCCTCACCTAGTGAACGTGTGGGCGTGGCTGACTTCACCCAATGGCCATTGTTCTTCGGTACGGTTATCTTTGCCTTGGAAGGTATTGGTGTAGTTATGTCTTTGGAAAATGACATGAAAAATCCCAACCATTTTATTGGCTGCCCCTCGGTATTGAATATTGGTATGGGTACCGTGATTACTTTGTACACTTTGGTGGGTTTCTTTGGCTATTTGAAGTATGGTGAAAGTACCGAGGGTAGTATTACTTTGAATTTACCCGTGGAAGATAAGTAAGTTTTTAGAAATTATGGAAATTTTAAAAGATTTGTTTTTTCTACAAAAATGTTTGGCTTTCTTTACAGATTGGCTCAATCGGTTAAATTGATGATTGCTATTGCCATTTTCTTTACTTTCACTTTACAATTCTATGTACCCACAAGTATTATCTGGAAGGGTATTCAACATAAAATCGCTCCAGAAAAACAAAACATCTCCGAATATGCTTTAAGAATTGTTTTAGTGGTAAGTGTTATTTTTTAAAAGAAATTTTAAAATAAAATTTTTAATAAATGTTTTTTTTTTAAAACAGATAATTTGCGGTGCCATTGCTGTTGCTTTACCCAATTTGGGTCCCTTTATTTCCCTAATCGGTGCCGTCTGCTTAAGTACTTTAGGCATGATTGTACCATCCATCATTGAATTGGCTGTGTATAATGAAGATCCCGGTTTTGGACGTTTCAAATGGCGTTTATGGAAAAATATTTACTAATTTGCTTTGGCATTTTGGGCTTTGTAACGGGTACCTATGTCAGTATATTAGAATTCCGTGCTGAATTCAGTAGTAAACATTAATAAGTTCTTTTTTTATTTAAGTATTCTGTGTTAATTTTGTTTTAACAATATTATAATAATGAAAAAAAATTAACATTTTTAATATTATTTATATTAATTTTGTTTGTTTAATTATAAACAAAAGAATGAAAAAAAGATAAATAAATAACATTTGAATATATATATATAAATATTTACTAACATTTAAATATAGAAGCTGTATAATAATGCAGAGACAGGGATTTTTTTTAACAAAACAAAAGTAACTCAAATTTGTATAAAAATATTTATTTAAACTAAAAAATCTAACCTAAAATATGCTAAAAGCCTCAAAGATCCTTTAACAATAGTTTTATGAAACTGAAAAAAAAAATACATATTACAGTTGTATTTAGAAAAAATTTCAAAAATTTTGAATTAAAGAAACCAAAAATTTCATTATTTGCCAGTATTTATTTCATTGTACAAACAATTGTTGTTTGAGCTAACAATTTAAAGCATCAGCTGGTTTAAATTGTTTGCTTTTACCTGATTACTCTGTAGACTGAACTAAATATTTGCTTAATGATTTAGAGATCTTTTATTTTATTGGATTTTTTTTTTTTGTATATGACTGTAAATTGGCTTTATTTAAGTTTAGTTTAAGTTTTAATAGAAATCTTTTAAAAACAAATCATGTAAATTATTTAAACAATAACAAATAACATGGCAGCATAAAATTAATATATTACTAAACAAAGTTTAGATGGAAAAATAAGTATTTACTAAAACCTTTACTAACACAGAGGGAAAAAACGGTAGAAAAGTATCGAAATTGATATAATCCGTTGTCAAAAGTGAGCTTACCACGTTTGTTAACAGTTAGACAACGTATGTGTTTAAAATTTAAATAACACTCAGTTATCATATTGACAACCAGCGTTGCAACTTTGATAACTTATGGTTGTCATTGCAATAACACAACGTTCAGTTTGACAACATAGCGTTGTTAATTTGGCAACATATTATTATTTTTTGGTTGATTTGATAACGTCGTGTATATTCTTGTTGCTTGTTTGACAACTATACGTAGACAATTTGACAACGGATGTTATTTGATGTCAATTTGATACCAGGCGTGTATAATTTTGAAACGTTTTTTCCTCCTCTGTGAAGATTTAAAATGCTTTGAGTGTGATCCATTTTGTTAATGATAAATTTATTTTGAAACTAACCGCAAAGCCCCATTATTGAACAGCTGAGTCCTTCATTAAGCTGACATGTCTATTGATCCGCTTAAATGACTTTAATAAAAAAGCATTAAAAAGCTTTCTTTACAAGAACTAGGAACTATTTTGGGGGAACACATAGACTTTAAATAGATACTAGGAAAGCATTGATATTTGAAATTGAAATGTAAGGTCGAAACTTCTGGCATTATTCCGACTTTTTATCAATGATAATTTATCCCACACTGTTTGAATTATCAATGCCCCCGCCAAGTTTGCAAAAATTATACGGGGGAAAGAAACTGAAGACTATTTCTGCCAGAGATCGGTTTTAACTCGGACTCGGATAAATCATTGTTATAATTAAACGAACGGGTCAACAAACCTTTTGTGTTTAGTACGACTTTTTATTAATGAATTCTGAATTACCAAGGTCTTATGCAAGTTTGTAATGATTATTCGGGAAAACCGATACTGATATGAAAGATCAAAACTTTTGACATTATTCCAACATTTTATCAATGATAATTTACCTTACATGTTTTGAATTTTCAAAACCCTCTGCAAGTTTGCTATGATTATAAGGGCGAAAGTAACGGACGACAATTTCTGCCAGAGATCGGTATTAACTCGGACTTTGACATATCATTGTTGTAATTAAACGAGCGGATCAGCAAACATTGTGTGTTTAATCCGCCATTTTATTATCGAATTCTGATTTATCTAGATCTCATGCAAGTTTGTAATCATTATTAGGGTCCAATGCAATAAACGTATTTATATTTGATACAGTGGAATTACTACCAGGAAATCTTTGATATGAATGAATGTGAAAGGTCAAACCAGCTGTCAAACCGATTTTTTATTAATAAAACTTCCCGCACACTCACTTATCGGAACCCTCTGCAAGTTTGCAATAATTATGCGATTCAAAGAAAACTCAACTAGAGTCACCAAATTTGGTCCGACTTTTTATAATAAAATCAGAATCCCTTGCAAGTTTGTTATGATTGTTGGGATAAACTTCTTCAGAATGCGTTTGTACTTCTGATCAAACTAAGAACTTTAAACTTGAAGTGTGAAGTTAAAGTGAAGGGTCCAAACTTTCTCACTGCTACATTTCTCCATACTTTTATATATAGTTTTCATTAACTATACGTAGGAAGGAGAACTCATTCGTAACTGGATATGAGAAAGTATCTGCTTAGATAGAGATCGGTTTTAGTTCCATCTTTGGCAGTAGTTTTAGTTGCGACTTTAACTTAATCAAAAACCCTGATACCAGCAAATCAATTTTAAAACCCATCAAGTCCCTGGATTACGAATAGTTTATTAATCAAGTTTAAAAGATTATTACGAGATGCCGAGAGCTTAAGACACTTCTAAGGGTATACGAAATGCAATATACCCAAGTTTGCAATAATAAAGCGGGATAACTGATTTAGAATTAGACTGGTAGGTGAGTGTATAGTTCGTTAGTAACTCAAAGATTCTCTCAGGGCCAAGATCCTAACTTACAGATAGATAAATTGAGAACTTTTATTCAAATTAGTTTGAAAATTACCAAAAATTTTACACCCTTTAAATTTGAAGAAAAAAATCAATATATAAGTTCTTTATCGACTAAAATAGAAGGTCGGGGATTAAGACTAGCTACCTAACTGGTTACTGGGGAATAGGAAATGTCCCTTATTCTAATATTCATTCTACAGCCATCAACATTCAGTTCAAATTTGCAAATATGTTAGTTTTAGATGACTGATTCCAGAATCACTCAGAGAAAGGGAAAAAGAGACTAAGATGGAACTACATACGCCATTGCTTTTCGGGGTTATTAACTGGTTCTAGTGTTAATTGTATACTTATGTCAAAAAGAGATTATTAATTTTCTAAAGCCTTAAGTGAGAAGGATGATGACATTCAAGTGAGACATTTATAAGTTTTTGAAAATTGTTAAAGAAATTTTGTTAATGTGCAAGGAACTAGTTACTTAATTAGTTATTTGGAGATAGAAAATTTGATTCTGTAATAACTATTAACAACTTTTCTATATAAATATTTAGAAACTCTTGTAAATTTATCATTTTGTTTCCAAAAAAATGGATCATAATTCAAAGAAAAAACTTGCAAAATACATATTTTTAATTTTCATGTAAAAGATTTTCATTACAATTTTGAAAAAAGTACAATTTGATAAAAAATAAAATACAACAAAAAACACAATAAATAGTTTAAGTAAATTATAATTTAAATAAAAAATCATTCAACCAAAAGAATTTTAAATATTTTTTGGCTGGAAGACAAGAATTTTTTTATACTAACCAACTCAACACATAAAATATTAAACATACAATACCCAATAAACAATTCAGTAATAAAAACTAAAAACTATTTAAAGTAAATATTACAGACATTTTTACAAAAGCCACGACTATTTTTTAAATAAAAACATAAATTAAAAATATTTAAAATATTAATATTACCAATAGAAATGTTATTGGGTTATTATTAAAACTCAATTATTAAAATAGTAATTAATTGTAACAATCAAACTAAAGTATTGAAATATGCAACAAAAACATGTAGTCATTTAAGGGTTTGAGTTAAGTCATTTAATTAAAAATTAATTAATTAATTAAATGTTTAAACGAAATCTCTTACAAAAACAAAATAACCAAAACAATTAACTAAAAAGTACCTAGTGGCTGTTATTTTTATAAAATTATTTTTAAATAATTTTAAATTAATTTTCTTAAATTTAATTAAAAAATTCCTTTTCTTTTGTGTTTTTATTAAAATTTAATTATAATTTAAAACAAAAATTTTCGTTTCATATACCCTTTTAAACACCCATAAAATTGTTCCTATATTTTACAATTATTATTATTTTTTTAATAATTGTTAATTATAAGACAATAATTAACAAAATTAAAGTTAAAATTGAAAAATTCTAAAATTTAAATTTAAACGTTAATTTTGTTTTCTTAATAAATTTATAAAAAAAATTACCATAAGTAAGAAGCTTTACCCAAAATTTTTGTTTTAACAAAACTGTTTGTGTATAAAAAAGACCAAAATATTAATTGATATTTTTTATTTAAATAATACTTTTAATATTAATTATTTTGCAAATAGTTTGTATGATTTTTGAGTTGCTTTAATATTTTATTCATTACTTTTTATTTAGACTTGCCCCTTAAAAAAAATTGTTTTATTAAATGTAATTTAAGAAAGTCTAATCAGTTTTACATTTATTGTAAACTTACTTCATAAATAAACTTGAAATTAAAATTTTAAAATAAATAAAATTAAGTTAAGATTAAAAAAAAATAATAATCATTGGTGTGTTTTATTATGAAATCAGAAGATCGTAAATTAAAATTGTCAAAAATAACTTTTCAAGACTTTTGAAATTGGGTTAATTTTGGTATAAAAGGTGTTATTAAGTCCATTAATGTCCTAATACGTTTAATAAAGAAATCATCTAGAATATAGGATTATGGTTTCCGAAATAGACCACCTTCTTCAGTATAACATTGCTCTATTTCAATTCAGATTCCTTAAAACAAGAGTCCTATATAGTCGGCCTTCTGCCGGTTTTAAAGTCTGGAATATTTCGAACATCGGCTACGAGAAACTAAATCCAAAGACTAAAGACAACCCATGGACTTTGTGTTTCTATTCTAATGAAAAGTGCCACACTATGTACATAGCTTACTTACTTCAAGACTGACGCAATTCAAAAAAGTCGCGACGTTTCGAAATTAGTGACTGCTTTATGATATTATAAACAGATCATGTGATTGGAAAAATGAAGAATGTTTTTAACAAAAATGACATTTACATGGACAGCAATAGTAGAAAACAAAAGTAATGAATTATTGTCATATTTATTAGGAATTTGAGCGAAAAATCTGTTGAAAAAAGTAGTAAATGATAGTTATGTTTATTGGGCATTTGAGCGAATCAAAATCAGAAATGTGTACACTATCAAATGTAATTGTCTGGCAACTTTATAAATGTTCAACTGATCTTTTTCGTATGCCTTAAGATATGCTATAAATATTGTCAAATAAAAGAGAATTAAGAGATAATGCCGGTTAATGTCGATCATACAGTTTCAATTAAGAAGTGCAATACATAAATAAGAAAACATTCAGATCGAGCATGTTAGCTTTATGATCTTCCCCTTGAAATCCGGGGGAAAAGAGGTGCTACCAATACATCTAGTCTACCGGGTCTATAAACTCTTGCAGTCATATGTATGATCGATCATTCCTTGGATTGATTTGATCTGGGGTCAAATCAGACAGCATATAATGTGGTACCAAAGGTAGTCCATAGGTTTCGGACTTTGTTTTGTCGCAGTTATTGGAGAGATTCCTTCATGGTGGTAGCTGTGATTTAAATACAAACTCGTGGAAAGTGAATGCTTGTAAAGACACTGACACACGGTAAAGTCTATAATTTGAGACAAGTTCGCTGACGATACTACAGATACCCGGCCGGGAGCATGTTACCTTGCTGAAACACCTCATCTTGGCGTAATTGCAATCCCGCGGAAAAGAGGTTCTACCAGTACCTCTAGTCTGCCGGGACTATGATCAAATGTATCCTCGGTCTTTTCTTGGAATGATTTGGCATGGGGTCGAACCAGAAAACCACCTAATCTGGTACCAAGGGAACCGGTAGCCTACAGGGCAGAGTATGGGACTTCGTCTTGTCTTGAATTGTGGTTTAAACCTAAATTCGCGGGAATAGAATGTCAGTTAAAAGACTGATGAACGGTAAAGTATATAATTCGGGATAAGTTCGGTGGTGTTGTCGTGACAGCAGATACCCCACAGATGAGTGACTGTGGGACTGATGATACAGGTTGAGTGTACGAGTATACGGATCTTTTACGCCCATATACCTATAGTGAGTGTGTCTAATGTTGTAGTCTATGGGTGTGTCGAATAAATGAGAAGTGTGCTTGGTTGAATGGTGATGGATGAAAGGTATCTTATATAAGCGATACCATTGAATTTTCCTTCCTTGTCCAGCTATGTTCAGGGAAACCTCTAAAAGGAAACGATTTTTGCATCTCGGTAATTAAGCAATGGTCAGATATCAGATAGCTCGACTATTTGAGCAAAATACATGGACCCTGTACGGCAGGCGTTCACAAAGCACATCGATTTCTTCCTAAATTGAAATTTTGAAAAAAAAACGGTTCCTCCTCACCGAATGACTAAACATATTAAAACAGGTTGAAATCGGTCCATTATTTCACAACTGGACCCACCAATTTTGTATTTTTATCTCATAATCATGTTTCTTTCATCAATATAAGTTAAATTTATTTTGCAGATATTGATAAAAAATAAATTTCCGAAAAGAGTTTTTATTTCGGAGCTGGAGTCATATACTATCCGATATTCAAAAAATTAATTTGGAGTAACTAATGTTTATATAAAAGTTATTTATGGATGTTCAAGTCATTTTCTGAATGGTGCTTTGTATGGGGATTATGATCAAATTAATACCGATCATTAGGTAAATCAACCGTCTTATTTGGGCGCAAATGAAATTTAGTGCGGCGATGACCTTGAACCCAATTTCCAAAAATGATTTTGAGAATTACAACCTGTACTTAGCGCACGGGATAATGAATCGATTGGTGTATATTAAAGAGGGTTCTTTCCGAGCTCCACTCTTAAGGTGTTAAGGAGTATTCGAGTTTAAGTTTTGAAAATGTGGTGGATCTAAACCGGGCATCTAAACCGTATTTGTGTATTTCCTCTCATTATACTTATTTTCAATAACTGATAATAAAACAAACAAATTTCTACCAATTAATAAATCTATCAATATTTTTAACAACTTCCTAACACAAATTGCAAACAAACTGCCTGGGACTAAGTAAATGTAAATTATAGACAAAAATTTTCTAAATAATAAATAAATCTAAAACAAAACAATTTCAAAGCAAATTGTTAAATAATGGTTAATAACTCAAGTTTTAGACAACAATAAATATGGCTTAAAAAGAGATATTGGTCGAAGCATCATCAATAAACTAACTATTCACTTGTTTTGTGTCTAACTTAAA